TGGATGTTTAGTTTATTGGATTTTGGATAATGCAAAGCTATGATTCAAAAATTTATTGAATAAAACTTTATTAAATAGACATTTATTTTTACAAACTACAAGTTTAGGGCAACACACCCAACAGAAAGAACCCTTAAGAGGATAAGGCGTGAGCAGAGGTTGAGAAAAGAAAGAGAAACTCAAAAAGAGAAAGAAGTTGAAGAAGAGACCATCGAGATGAATATAAATCCACAAGATCCTCCACATCCACCAAATCCACCTGTGGACGGAGATAGGGCAGGTGAAGGAGCAGCAAACCGAGCAGGAGAAGTTCCTAATCCGATCCTTCTAACAGATAACCGAGATGTAGCCGTGCGGAACTATGTCACTCATGCATTCCACAACTTAAATTCAGGTATAAATAATCCTTTGCCCAAAGCCGCACAATTCGAGCTTAAATCAATCATGTTCCAGATGTTGTAGATGATGGGCCAGTTCGGAGGGCTGATAACGAAGATCCTTACTCCCATCTCAAATCTTTTATTGAAATAGCTAATGCATTTCAACTTTCTGGTGTCTCTGAGGATGCACTAAGATTAAAAATGTTTCCTTTTCTCTCAGGGACGGTGCAAGGACTTGGTTAAACGCGCTATAACCAAATTCTATCAACACATAGGCAAAACTGACAGAGAAATTTTTTGCAAAGTACCATACTTTGACCAGGAACGCAGACCTTCGAGAAGACATTGTGTCTTTTCGACAAAAGGAGAATGAAGCAGTTCAAGAACCTTGGGAGCGTTTTAAGGAGTTGCTTAGAAGATGCCTGAGCCATGGATTGCCAACATGTGTGCAGATTGAACAGTTCTATAGAGGATTGGATCGTCCATCGAGGATGATGTTGAACACCGCAGCCAATGACTCATTGTTCGAAAAGTCGATCAGTGAGATCATTGACATTTTGAACAAGATGACAGACAGTAATGACCAAGGCGAAATAGGAAGGTCATTACCAAAGAAGCAAGTATCAGCCAGAGTCTTTGAGTTAGACACAGTAGCTTCAATGCAAGCCCAAATGGCGACTATTAATCAGATGTTAAAGCAGCTGACAATGGAGAAGGAGACCAAAACCGCCACTTCGGCGATGCTTGAACCCTCTCTGTGTTTACAAATTTCAGATATATCTTGTGTTTATTGTGGTGATAACCAATTGTATGAGAACTGTCCAGCTAATCCAACGTCTGTTTTCTATGTAGGTCAACGTGCCCAACGGAATTTCAATCCGTATTCGAACACTTACGACCCTAGATGGAGGAACCATCCAAACTTTTCTTGGAGTAACCAAGGAGTAGCTAGTAGCAGTGCGCAAACACCTGCTCAACAATACAAGCAAAATTACACTCCTCCTGATTTTCCAACTCAACCGGCATCACAGCCTCAACAATACAATCAGCAAAGAGCTCAAAATACTACTCAGCAAGGTGGTAGCAACGGAAGTTTGGAGGCCATGAGGAAAGAATTCATGACAAGAAGTGAAGCTACAACAAAAGAGTTCATGACAAGAACTGATACTGGGATAAGAAAGTTGGAGATGCAAGTGGGGCAGATAGCGAATGACAAAAAATCTAGACCCCAAGGTACATTGCCTGGAAACACGGAAAATCCTAAATGAGAAGGAAAAAAGCAATGTAAGGTAGCCATCACAAGAAACGGACTGAGTTATGAAGGACCCTCACTTCCAACTGAATGAGACGATGTAACTACACCTGTTCCCACATCCACTCCACCACTAGAAGAGAAGGAAGAATCAGTAAGTTCAAGTTAGAAAGCCAAAGGTAAGCAAGTAGTGACCAGCACTACTTTACAGCTAGGTAATATTAAGATTCCTCCACCTTTCCTCCAAAGGCTAGTTAAAAAAAATAAGGATAGTCATTTTAAGAAGTTATTTGAGATTCTAAAATAGTTGCGTATAAAATACCTCTCATAGATGCTTTGGAACAAATGTCTAACTACACTAAGTTTTTTAAAGATATCATATCTAGGCATAAGAAGTTAGGAGGGCATGAACTGGTAGTCCTAACAAAGTGTAGTAGTGATACTCTAGGGAATCCATTGCCTGTTAAGTGTAAGGACCCAAGTAGTTTTACTACCCTTTGCTCAATAGGAGGTAAGAACTTAGGTAGGAGCAAACATGTATCTTATGCCTCTTTCTATCTTTAAAGAGTTAGATATAGGAGAATCTTGTCCCACTACTATCACTTTACACCTACTTTAGAGGTCTATTAACAAATCGGAAGGAAAAATAGAGGATGTCCTTGTCCAAGTGGATAAATTTATCTTTCCCGCCGATTTTATAATTTTGGATTGCGAAGCAGATCTTGAGGTGTCGATCGTTTTTGGAAGGTCATTTTTAGCAACTGGAGATACAATATTCAATGTTAGGAAAGGAGAGATCACGATGAAGGTCAATGATAAATAGGTAACCTTCATTGTCCTTGATGCGATGCATCTCTCGGATGAAGTCGAGGAGTGCTCTACAATAGGAGCAATCATGGAGGAACTCCAGCAAATGATGGTGGAAGACTTAGAAGCAGATTTTGAGGCTGCAGAAAAAGAAGTGTGCGCCTGTTTGTCACAATTTGAGCGTTTTGAGTTTTTGCAACCAACTATAGCGGGTTTGAAAGCCATGCAACCTTCCATCATTGAACCTCCAGAATTGGAGAATAAGCCCCTACCTTCTCATTTAAAATATGCATATTTGGTTTTAAATGATACTTTGCCGGTTATCATTTCTTCTTACTTAACTAATAAACATGAATCTTTGCTTTTTCAGGTTTTCACTAAGTATAAGAGGGTTATTGGATGGACCATATCAGACATAAGAGGAATTAGCCCTACTTTTTGGATGCACAAAATCATCATAGAGGAGGGAGCCAGCAATTCTATCGAGTGCCAAATGAGGCTCAACCCTAAAATGAAATAGGTGGTCAAGAAGAAGATCATAAAATGGTTAGATGTCGGGGTGATCTACCCCATTTCAGATAGCAACTGGGTTAGCCCAGTTCAATGCGTTCCCAAGAAGGGTGGTATGACGGTGATTAAAAATTATCACGACTAATTGATCCCGACAAGGACGGTGACTGGTTAGCGAGTGTGTATGGACTACCGTCGCCTAAGCAAGATAACTCGAAAATACCATTTTCCATTACCCTTTATCGACCAAATGTTTGATCGTCTTGCAGGGAAGGAGTGTTATTGCTTCCTAGACGGATATTCTGGTTACAACCAAATTACTATAGCCCTGAAGGACGAAGAAAAGACCACGTCCATGTGTCCCTATGGGACATTTGGGTTTCGGAGGATGTCGATCGGTCTTTGTAATGCTCCCGCCACCTTCTAGAGACAGATGACCGCTAGTTTTTCTGACATGATAGAAATCACGGTAGAGATATTCATGGATGATTTTTCTGTGTTTGGTGAGTCGTTTGATGTTTGTTTAGAGAACTTAGAGAATGGCGAGAAGAGACTGACCTAGGTCACAAGATTTCAGGAAAAGGAATTGAGGTCGGCAGGGGCAAGATAGACTTGATTACCAAACTACCCCCTCCCACTACTGTAAAAGGTGTTAGAAGTTTCTTAGGACACGCGGGTTTCTACCACCGTTTTAGAAAAGATTTTGCAAAAATTTCAAAATCCTTGTGTCAGTTTTTGGAAGTGGATCAACCCTTTGTTTTTTATGAACATTGTTTGAAAGCTTTTGAGACACTTAAACACGCACTTAGCTCAGCACCTATCATTTGAACCAGGTGGAACTTGTCATTTGTAGGTGCAATGTTGGGTCAACGAAAAGGTAAAGTTCTTCATCCTATTTATTATGCAAGTAAAACCTTGAATAGTAGTCAGTCAAACTATACGGTGACTGAGAAAGAACTTTTGGTTGTTGTTTTCGCATTTGATAAATTTTATTCATATTTGATTGGGACTAAAGTGATAGTTTTTACAGATCATTCTACGTTAAAATACTTGTTTGCTAAAAAAGAATCTAAGCCTAGGTTGATTAGATGGATATTGTTGCTATAAGAGTTTGACTTAGAGATAAAAGATAGAAAAGGAACAGAAAACCAAGTAGCGGATCATCTATCTAGGCTAGAATCTTCTTTGCAACATGATAGTTGTGATATTAAGGAGCATTTTGTCAATGAACATCTGTTAGCTATTTCTGAAGTCCGTTGGTATGCTGATTATGTGAACTATCTAGTTAGCAATATAATTCCTAATGATTTGAGTAAACACCAGATAAAGAAGTTCTTTCATTATGTTAGGTCTTATAGATGGGATGAACCTTTCTCGTTTAAACTAGGACCTGACAATATTATTCGTAGGTGTGTCGCTGAGCATGAACATAAGGAGATTTTAGAGGCGTGCCATAAATCGCCATATGGTGGACATTTCGCTGGACATAAAACTGCAGCGAAGGTTCTCCATAGTGGTTTCTTTTGGCCGTCCCTATTTCGAGATGCTCACATATTTGCTTAAGGTTGTTACCCCTGTCAAAAATCAGGTAACTTGTCACGGATTCATTAGATGCCCTTAAACCCAATATTGGAAGTAAAACTTTTCGATGTTTGGGGCACCGACTTCATGGGTCTGTTCCCACCTTCATTCGGTAAGAATTACATTCTCTTGGTCGTTGCTTATGTCTCGAAATGGGTTAAGGCTCTGACCACCCCTACTAACGATGCCAAGGTAGTTTCTTTCTTCTTGCAAAAGTTTATTTTCACTACATATGGTACACCTAGATGCTTGATTAGTGATGAGGGCACACACTTCTTAAATAGAGCAGTAAGTAATTTGCTAAAAACGTATAACATTCATCACGAAATTGCTACTGCATATCACCCTCAAACTAATGGATTAGCAGAGGTATCAAATAGCTAGGGCAATAAAGTCAATTTTAAAGAAGTCTATGAATGTGAATAGGAATGACTGGGCTATTAAACTTGATGATGCTTTGTGAGCATATAAAACTGCTTATAAAACTCCATTAGGCATGTCCCCCTATCGCATTGCTTTTGGAAAAGCATGTCATCTTCTGTTAGAACTAGAACATATAGCATTTTGGGCTATGCGAAAACTAAATTTTGATTATGTTGCTGCAAGTGATGCGAGATTGCTCCAGTACATGAGTTGGATGAGTTTCGCCAGTTTTCTTATGAGAATGCTAAGATGTACAAAGAACAAACCAAGAAATGACACGATAAGAAAATAATGGATAAGAATTTGGAACCTGGAGACTCAGTTTTGTTGTTCATTTCTAGATTAAGGTTGTTCCCAGGTAAACTTAAGTCTAGATGGTCGGGCCCGTTTGTAGTTGAACGTGTTTATCCACATGGAGTTGTGGATTTATGTGATTTGAAAGGTAATATTTTTAAGGTAAATGGGCATCGAGTTAAGAAATACTTTGGTGAACATATTGACAGAGGCAAGACCTCTGTATTTTGAAAGATCCATGAAAAAACAGCGAAAACAGTATTGATGGCGTTTTTATGTAAAATATCTTTTGTCTTCTTTTTTGCAAAATTTTTACATTTTTTTTAAGGTTTTTTTGTGTTCCACTTACATTGCTCTGGGATGGGAGCGAGCCAACTCAGGCCGAGTCGCACCCCACTAGTCGATTTTGCAGGAGAGTCGGTCAGACCCGAGGGGTGCATCAGCCTTCCGATAACCCTAGGAGAAGGAAGCACTCAGATCTCAGATGGTAAACTTTGTGGTGGTTGAAGCCAGGTCGGCGTACAATGCTATATTCGGCCGACCTGTCATCAACGACCTACAAGCCGTGCCGTTAACACTACACCAAGCAATGTAATACCTAACTCCCAATGGAGTGGGGACAATAAGAGGAGAATAGAAGACTTTAAGGGAATGCTACGCGGGAACCCTCAAGCCCACTTGCAATGCCACACTGGGAGCCACGAGCTCAAGACAGACGAGTCACTTGACAATCAGAACCACAAGAAGACTTGGAGCTCGTCCCGTTGCTTGGCCCAAAGAAGTGCACAAGTATCATCACAAAGCTGAAGGCCAGCAAGAAGGAAGAGCTCGTCCAGTTCCTCAAGTGCAACACTGACGTGTTCGCCTGATCGCATGACGACATGCCTGAAATCGATCCCAGCATCATGGTGCACCATTTAAATATAGGCCCCTCTACGCAACTTGTAAAACAAAAGAGACGACCTGTAAACGCTGAAAGAAGCGCAGCTATGGTAGGAGAAGTTCAAAAACTTTTGAAAGCTGAATATATCAAAGAAGTTAATTACCCTGCACGGCTTTCGAATGTGGTGTTAGTAAAAAAACCAAACGGAAAATTGAGGATGTTCGTAGACTTCACTAACCTAAACAAAGTATGTCCAAAAGATAGGTTTCCCCTCCCTGAGATCGATCAGATGGTCGACGCAACGGCGAGGCACGAGCTCCTCAACTTCATGGATGCATGCTCAGGCTATAACCAATAAGGGTGTTCAGGGAACCCGACAACTCGATGAATCCAACCCAATGGGTTGGAAAAATCCCAACACGACCGGGTTGGGTCTGGTCTCGGGTTGACCCTTGAAAATCTCGGGTCAACCCGACCCGACCCGAGTATATATGTTTGTATATATATATTACTTATAA